CATTTAAAATATGGATAATATAGGTAATATCCGTATTTGATCCGTTTTTAAAATGTTTATTATCCAACCCATATTTTAGCGGATAATATAGGTGGTTACTTATTTTCTTTTATCCATTTTGCCACCCCTAAGTTCAAGATATGTACATGCTTAAGTAAAAATTGCACGGGGCGCCCTATTTGATCGCCCCCATTTAACCTATACCCACGTTTTGAAAAACTTTTAACTTGTAACCACTTTCTAAACAACTTCAGGCCTCTTTCTCCTCCCAGCTCCTTCTCCTCCTTTGTTTTCTTCTTCTCCTTCTTCTTCTTCTTTCTTCTTCGGGTGACAATGATCGTTCTTTGTGACTCATTAAAAGTTGATCTTCGTTTCTTGCAAACTTGTAAGAACAGTGCAGTGCCAATTTGAAATATAATACTGCTTTAAGGACTAGATATCTGTTGATATAATGTAAACATGCATATTCTTATCTTGCCTGCTTCTTGACGTAGCAATATCAGAGAAACAACTTAAATTAGTTCTAGTTGCTGCAATTTAATTTTGTAAGAGCTCCTAACAATGCTGAAGTTCAGCAAATATAACCAAGAACTCCAGCTCCTAGAATGCTAAAGTTCAGCAAATACGAAACAAACTTCAGCTCCTAGAATGCTGAAGTCAGCATATACAAAATAAAATTCAGCTCCTAGAATGTTGAAGTTCAGCAAATACAACACAAACTTCAGCTCCTAGAATGCTGAAGTTCAGCAATTACAAAACAAACTTCAGCTTCAGAAATTACAAAACAAAAACTTCAGCCAAAACATGCTGTAATTTTATTGAGCTGAAGTTTGTCATTGCACTATGAACTGAAGTTTGCGTGATTTCCTTTGCTACTTCAGGCCCGTATGCCTGAAGTTACGCGAAAAGTGGGTACGCTTGCAAATTTTTTCACAAAGCGGTATAAGTTAAAAGGTGGCCCAAAAACTAGGTATAAATGCAAATGCCCCATGCTTAATGCTTTGGAGTTACATCAAATTCATAGAACAAATTATCTCATCATTTTGGAATCACATTCTCTGAAGCATTAGTAATGTGTTTGCAACTAAAATTTAGTCGGGCGAGCGAAAGAGAGAGAGATCAATTGGTAACATTATTGGGTTTGGAAATTACAACTTTATTATCTACACAAGGAAAATATTTTAAGTTTTGTTTAAATAGATAAATTATTTTAGAAATATAAATGTAAAATTGTGATTTTAAAAATAATTGTCGACTGGACACTTAAGAACCTCAGTTTAAAAATGATCACTTCATTTTGAGGTCACAAATAAAATTAGGGAAAATGCATAATTACAACCCCCCCCCCCCCCCCAACCTATACCCAAAGTTCCAACTACACACTTTTTCTTCACAGGAATCCTAGTACCCCTCCTAAACTATTTTTTACCTTAATAGTTTGGACCTTTTGTGCGGAGCTGGACTGGAACGTGAACACACTTTCCCATAGAGGCGAATCTAGGATTTGAACCTTATGGGTTCCTAACATTTGGGCAAAAGTGATACTTTCAGCAAGTAAAAAAGTTTTTAATGGTGGCTGGTCTATTTTTAAAAGAAACAGAGAAACAAAAAAGTGCCTGCAGGTGTTTGTTTTGTGAAAAACCAAAAGTGAAGTTAAAATGTGTACTAAGGGATTTGAACCCTCGCCGGATACGCAGGAACACAGCAAAAGCTAGTTCCTTTTTTTGCCAATGAACCAACAACTAACTTTGGTTATGGGTTTCAAACTAAAATTACTTATACATTTAATATATTTCTAAATACAACTACAAGGTTCGGGTAAAAGTTACTGGGTTCTCGAAAACCCATACCCGATACTGTAGATCCGCCCCTACTTCCCCAAGTGCATAGTAAATTAAATAAAAAGTCTTTAGCCTATAAAAAATGGACATGTGTCGTTCTCAAAGCTGATTTGGAAGACCTCTTCTTCTAAACATAAAATGTTCTTCTTCCCCAATATACAGCCATTTTCAAGACCTTTGAAGGTGGGTTTTGACTTCCAATTTTTTTGGGTTAGAAGAGGTAAGTGAATTTTTTGTGTAAATTCCTCCGTTTGACTCTTTTTTCTGTTAAGAGTTTTTTAATTTCTTCCCCAATTTCGGTCTATGAAATCTTAGGGTTAGGAATGGCAAACGCCAAGTTGAATAAATTGTGCATGGACGAAGATGATCCAATTCTCAATGCCGAAGTGCGATGCAAACATAGTATTTTGCTGCAAATGCAAACTTCTTGGTCAGATCGGAATCCGGGAAGACGATTTTGGTCTTGTCCTCACTATGAGGTATGTGTTCATGTTCTAAACCTATCGATTAACTTGAAAATTAATGTTGATTGGGTCGTTATTGAATTCTTTAAATTTCAGGCCACAAATTGCTAGTGTTTCAAATGGAGAGACAACGAAAGAGTTGATGAACGATCAAAGTTTATTCTTCCAAGATTGGTAAACAAAATAGAGTTAGAAGAAAATTACGACCATCTTAAGCTGCATTTGGATGATCTTGAAGATTCAAAACAGAATGTTAATTTGAAAAAGAAGAGTATGAAGGAAAAAAATAGAAGAAACTTGTGTAGAAAATTCATTTGGTGTATTATGATTTTTGTAGTTGTTGTGTTTGTTACCAGCTTAATCCAAGTTGGTAACTTGAAGAAAAACTAAATGGAGTTCCCATAGTAGGTGGTTGTTGTAATAATATAAGATCATTTTGGTTGTTGTCGTAATAGAAGATCATTTTGGTATTGATATCGGAAAGGGTAAGTTAGATGTGGTTTGGTTGTGTACTTCATTTTGGTAATGTAATGAAACATCATTTTAGTATTGCATTAGAATGAAACATTATTTTGGTATCATGGTATCAATTTCTGTTGATAAATCTGTTGTTGTTGCTGTATAAGAAAATTTTTGGGGGGAAAAAAACAAGAAGCCTCTTGGCAGCAGCTGGTTAGCAACACTAGCTGCTTAGCAACACTGCCCACGACTTCAGAACATCCAAACTAATTGCATATGAAGAAAACTACTATAATTTCTAACAAATCACTTCAATGGTACATTTGAATGCCAATAATCTAATAACAAAACAAACGTTTCCAACATAACACTTTGAGTACCATTTATAGGAGCAAAACATTAGTTTTTAACAAGTATGCCAAGATCCAGGCATTAATAAAAAAAAATCCAACAGCTTCATAACAAACAAAAAAACACCATAGGTCCCTATCAACACTATAATTTCCATGGTTCTTGGGGCTGTGAACCAGCATTCCTTGATTTGTCTCTAATTTCTTGAAGTCTTTTTATTATAATTGCTTGTCTTCCTTTTCACTTCAGTCCACTTGTGGGTTTGAAACCAGTATCACCAGTAACATCAGCTGATCTTGTTATCTTTGTTGATGATATAGTGGACACTATTCTGCTACTTGGCAGCCCAGTCTATACAAAAAATAGTTTAATTAGTTTAAGGTACATTAAGATAATAACAGAACTGATTGCATCTTCACTTACATTAATAGCTGTGAAGCCATTCTCAGCCTGAAAACACTCATTCCCATCAGTCTTGGCCTTTTATATGGTGTTGAGCTTCTAATACCCCTTCCCCTTCCTCTAGTAGCAGTAGATGAACTTGGTGCAGCAGAAGAAATAGGTGCAGCAGATACAGTATGAGCTGCATTTGGAGTTGAACATGAAGACCAACTTTCAAGTGAATGATGTGTTGTGGCCCTTCCTCCCCTTTCTCCCCTTTCTCTTCCTCTTCCCCTGCCTCTAGCAGTAGTAGAAGTACTAGTTGTTGTATCAGGAGCTGTAGAACTAGGAGCAGAACAGGTAAACCAACTACCAAGTGAAGAAGTTGATGGAAATTCAGCACCAATAGATGCAGTTGGTGCAGTATCAGGTGCATTAGCAGCAGATACATTAGTTATTTTTCTTGGTCTACCTCTTCCTTTTTTTTACAGTAGGCTCACCTTCATTAGTAGTTGATTTATGGAAAACAAACATGTTAGATAATGAACTAAATTTAAAAGAATTTGATACAAAATAGAACATTACCTTTGATTTGCCTCTTCCCTTTCTTGAAATTGTTGGTTTTGCAGCAGCTTTTGATGAACTAGCACCAAGTGTATCACTCTTTGGACACCCTCTTTTGTTGTGACCCATCTCATGACAGAGCCTACATGTCATTACTAGACCAGTTTTAGGCAATTTACCAGACTTCTTAGTTTCATTTGCCTCTTTCCTTCTAACCTTTTTTGGTCTGCCAGGCATGCTTTTGACAATTGGTGGTGCAACAGAAGGGTTGGCGGATTCAGGCCACATTGGCATATTACTCACTGGTTAAATGAAATTAGAATAAGTTAACAAGTATGTCTCTTTGTTGTAGCAGCTATCAATGAAGTCAGCTGGTTCAACATTGTCATAATACATTGCACATATGGCATGTGGACATGGTATCCCCTTTAGCATCCAAGATCTGTAACTACAAACCTTCCTTCTAAGGCACACAGTATGTTGTTTACTGTCATTCATTAGTTCATATCCTGTTTGTCCATTAAACTCAATGGTACATGTCATTGATTTTTCAATATTGTCCTCCAATATCTTTAAGGTCATTGGAGAGATGTTGCTACTCCATGTGTTTGCAAATGCCCTTAACTTTCCTATTCTTGTCATCATCTTGATTCTAATCTCTTCAAGCATGCTAATAATAGTCTTGTGCCTTGCTGCCAAGATCCAGGCATTAAAACTCTTTGACATGTTATTATCCAGTGCATCACACTTGACTTCACAGTTAAAATACACCTTGCACCAATACTCCTTGTCATAGTATAGTAGATCATCCACTATGTTCTTACCAAGCATTGACAGTGTTTTCAGATTTTTTTTTTTAATTCAGCTTCATAAGTGCTTCTGGCACACTTCCAGAATAAGTTCCTCCTTTGAAGCCCTCTCCATCTCTTTGACCAATTAGCTAAGATATGCCTCGCACACATCCTTTGTTCACAAGCTGGAAAGAATTCCTTAATTGCTGAACCAATCCCTGTAAATTACAGTTACATGAAACACAAAAAATAAAACATAAGTCAGTTTTAAAGAAGGAAAGTGAAGCTAATGAAACACAAAGTTGCAGTTGCTGAAATATACCTTTTGCATGTCAATGATCATAGTGAAGCCTGTGCCATCACCCAATCCCAAGTCTTTCTTCAGCAAAGTTAAGCACCATGACCATGTACTTTTCTTCTCATATTCAACTATAGCCCAAGCAAGTGGAAGCATTTGGTTATTACCATCCTTAGCCACAGCAACTAGTAGTTGCCCCCTACTTACACCCTTCAGGAAACAACCATCCAAGCCTATGCATTTTCTACACCACAAGAATGTATTTTTTTAGTGCCTCAAAAGAGATGTAAAAACTTACAAACACTGGCCTACCAAGTTCATCCAGTTCACCAAGCTTCACAACACAAGTGCTCCCAGGGTTAGTCCTTAACAACTCATCCATGTAATCAAGAATTCTACCAAACTCCACTTTATGATCACCCATTATTTGCTGCAGTACTTTAGCTCTTGCTCTCCTGGCTGTGGTCTTACCAACATGAACTTTGAATTTCTTCCTTATTAATTCTTGCAACTTGAAGACTCTTATGTTTGGTTGTTCAGTTATTCTATCTTTGAAGACCTTGGCCAAGAATTTAGAATTGCACAAATAATTTCTAGAGGCCCTCTCACACTTGAACTGGATTGTAAGTTCTTATAACAAAATTATTATTTACACTGTCCAAGTTTGCAAACAAAAGCTAATTGCAGTTATCCTTGGTGCACCTCCACCTGACTCTAGTTGGCTCATTTATATGATTTTCAATCAGAACTCTTTTTTGTAGTGCATACCTAGTTACTGCATCTCTAAAGTCATCAACACTCTCAAAGATTATACCCAACTGCCATACAATCATTTTACATGTTTTATCAAACTTCACACTCTTTGTATATTTGGATCTCCTTTTTGTTAGCTTTACCTTCTTGTCTTTCCCATCTTCAGTCCAGTATTCATCTTCATCAGTTTCAAAGTTACAAGCATCAGAACTAGGATAATATGGTTCACCACCACCTAGCCTGCCTTCTACGCTTTTTTTACCAATTTCAGTCTCATCAAAACCAATATCTGGCCCTGCATCACCACATGGTACATCTTTAGTATCAACAGCAGCTTTCTCCTTTCTTTTTCTCCTTTGAAATGACCTACTTTTCTTCCTAATCTCTATGTACTCCTCATTTACATCACTGTCGTAATCATCCCCCCCCCCCCCAAAGAAGTCATTTTCATCAGAATCAGCACTATCTTCAGTTGATTCATCATATCCATTTTCACTTGAGTAATCTTCAGCTGGAGAAGATTCTGGATCTGAAAGAGCAGCTGTTGTGTATGCTGGATCAGCAATTGGATCTGCAGGAGCAGTGTGTGGAGGAGCAACAGTGTTTGGAGAGCAGCAGCATTGATTGAAGGAGAAACAACAGTGTTTGAAAGAGCAGTAGTGTTTGGAGGAGCATTAGAACCATTAAAAGCAACCCCTTTATTAAAAGCTGAATAAGATTCCTCCTCAGGCATGTGCACATATACTTCCAAAACAGCCTCATGTTGTAAAGACTTACCAATTGCTAAAAAAGCCCTGTCATTTTTAATATCTCCTAAAATACCACAGTTAGGTGGCCGAATACTAAATTTATAACTTGAGTTGTATCCTAATTCTTTAATATAATCTTTCAACTCAAAATAGGATAGGGTATCCACATCAACATCCAAATATTCACTCATTACTCCACCAACATATTTTGGTTCCCCATTTCCAAACTCTAAGACCCCACCATGATATAGTCTTAAAGTGATTAAAGCAAACCCACTCATACATATATCCAAACAAAGCAACAAAAAAAATCGATAAAACAAAATTCAGCAGAATTCGACAAATTGTAGATACTAGTATTAGAAAAGTACTTATTTGCTAAAAACCAAAAGTTTTCACTGAACCCATGCACAATCGAAGCTCTGAGGTTAACATGCAGACAAGAAACCTCAAATTTAATCTGCCAATCACAAAATCGCAATGGCTAAAAATATTTAAAAACCCTAAACTAACACAAAAGTAATTAAATGCAGTAAAGACCCTAGAACATTATTCTTGTTTAACCTTCCAATCTGACCTTCAACAACCCTAGAACATTTTTCTTGTTTAACCTTCGAATCTGACCTCCTCTTCCTTGAATCGAACTATTAAAATGGGGCTTTATACTTATTTTCGATCTATTAGTATCCAATTGCAAGAGAACAAAGAAATTTTTTATGTCTTGATGATTTGGTTAAAGGATCGAAGAGTGCACTGAAGAATGGGGGAAATTTTTGGGTCTCAGATAGTCATTTGTGTTATATTTTAATGAAGAGATAAAAAAAGATAAAAGGGGAATGGAATGGGGGGACCATCGGTTTATGATGCGCGTGTCTACACCGCATGTATTTTAACTGGGGTTTCAGTCCAGCTCAACACAAAAGGTCTAAGATATTAAGGTAAAAAATAGTTTAGGGGGATACTAGGATTCCCGTGAAGAAAAAGTATGTAGTTGGAACTTTGGGTATAAGTTAGGGGGGTAATTATGCATTTTTTCATAAAATTAAGGAACTATAGTAAAAGAGAAAAACAGAATTTAAATATCTCTCAACATATATGTCTGATGTCGTTTAACCATTGGCTACCATTTTTGTTTACTGGCCGCATTTATTTATACAAAATCTTGAGAGTTGAGTCCGTTAGTGGCCAACTGTTTCTCATCTCATATCATAGCAAATACTCCACTGAAAAGGGAAATAGAAAACTATCGTATTCTTGTGAGCCAACATATTCATGCTCATCCTATTAAAATTCGTAGTCTAATATTCTTCTTTTAGAATTTACTTCTTTCATATAAAACTAAGAAAAATTCACAATATATTACGTATTTCATACAATTTTAGGTTTTACTTTATTTTATACATTATATCACTACCCAAAAACCAAAAACAAAAAAGAATATGATCGCTCGGAGGTCTTATTTGTTAGGAAGTGTCAGATTAATAGAAGGGAAAGAATATTTAAAAGAGAAAAGCAATAAATTGCACAAGACAAGACAAGATTTACGCGGTTTGATGATTTTTGCCTACTCTACGCCCACATAAAGAATAGCTCTTTATCAATTGAAGAGAAAGAAGAAGTTGAGGGGATGATCTACAAATGAAAATGCAGACCCCTTTTATAGGCATTTGAATTCCTGCCGACGTAAGCGCTTACGTCATAAGAATGCCGACATAAGCACTTATGTCATAAGAAATGCCGACGTAAGCACTTACGTCATAAGAAAAGACTTCAAAGATGAATTCTTTCGCCTATCATTTTTCTTCTCTCTTTGACTTTTCTTTCTTTTGTTTTGTCTTCTTTTCTTTCTTTCACATACAACAACAGATTTGCTCCTATCAATCTCCCCCTCAAACCTATGTTACATCAAGAAAGAAATTTAAAAAAAAAATTGCTATTCTTTGGTGGCGCCTTCACGCTATCAGTCTTGAAGGCTAACTGAGGCAGTGCACAGCCTCAGTTTGTCACCACCGACTCTGACAGGTTCTTTGATCCTATTATCTTCTGCAGGGAAAGAGTTTCTTCACTTATCAACTCTTGAATATGATGATACCTCAATTGAATGTGCTTTGATCTTGAATGAAATACTGGATTCTTGGCAAGATGAATTGCACTCTGGCTATCGCTAAAAAGCTCACAATTGTCCTGCTCTTTACCTCTTTAAGAAAATTCTTGAGCCCAATGATCTCTTTTCCAGCTTCTGAGATTGCCATGTACTCTGCTTCAGTGGTAGATACAAAAACACTTTTCTGAAGTCTGGACATCCAGCTAACAGTAGTACCACCCAAGGTGAACACGTAGCCTGTGGTACTTTTTCGACTATCCAGATTGCTGCCTAAATTTGCATCAGCAAAACCTTGTAAGATGATATTGTTCTTTTTAAAACAAAGTGTCATACCTGAGGTGCCTTTGAGATATCGCAATATCCTTTTTACACCTTCCCAATGCTCTATTCCTGGATCTGACATGTATCTACTGACAACTCCAACTGCATGCGCTATGTCTGGTTTAGTGCAAAGCATAACATACATCAAACTTCCTACTGCTGAAGCATATGGAACTTTGGAAATGTACTTCCTTTCTTCATTTATCTTAGGTGGTATGTTCTTCGATTGATTAACATGTCTTCCGAGTGGAGTGCTTCTGGTCTTTGCATCATGAAGACTGAACCTGCTTAATACCTTCCGTATGTACTTTTGTTGAGACAATTTTAAGGTTCCTTCATACCTGTTTCTACTAAACCTCATCCCAAGCATTTTCTTTGATGGTCCTAAGTCTTTCATTTCAAACTGCTCCGCCAGTTGTTGCTTAACCATGACGATCTCATTTATGCTAGATCATGCAATTAGCATATCATCAACGTATAACAATAAAATGATATAGGATTCATCAAGATTTTTGATATAACAGCAATGGTCCATCTCACATCGCGTGAAATCATTATTATGCATGAATCCATCAAATTTCTTGTACCATTGTCGGGGAGCTTATATCAAACCTACAAACTCTTCTTCAACTTGCACACAAGGTTTTCTTTACCAGAAACTTGAAAACCTTCAGGTTGATTCATGTAAATGTCTTCTTCAAGGTCACCATGCAAGAAAGCAGTTTTAACATCTAACTGCTCCAAATGCAAATTTTCTGCAGCTACGGTACTTAGCACAAATCTTATAGTAGTTAATTTGACTACAAGAGAAAAGATCTCAGTGAAGTCAATTCCTCCCTTCTGCTGAAAGCCTTTTACTACTAATAGTTCTTTGTATCTCTTCTTACCATCATGCTCTTCCTTGACTCTGTACACCCACTTGTTCTACAATGCCTTCTTTCCTTTTGGTGACTATGTAAGTATCCATGTTTTATTCTTTTGAAGAGAATTAATCTCTTCTTTCATGTCTAGCTTCTACTTATCAAAGCCTATCACCTACATTGCTTCAACAAATTACTCTGGTTCTCCAGCATCAGTCAGAAGTAAATAGTGAAGAGAGAGAGTTAACTTATCAGGAGCATTCGTGACTCATTTAGATCTCCTTAATGTTGGTTCAAGAGTAACTGATCCTGAATTTGATTCAAGTCCTGACTCCAGATTTGGTTTTGCATTTGATTCTATCTCTGGTTCCAGTTCTGGTTCTGATCCAGATTCGACTTCTGGTTCTTCATCTTCAATTTCAGAATCCCTTTAACCACTTCATTTTCTGAGATTTCTTCTAACTCAACTGTTTCAGGTGTCTGTTTGCTGGTGCTGGTTGGTTCTACTTCAAGCTTGTCCTTGTACATCACATATTCGTTAAATGTAACATTCATGTGTCTTAGAATCTTTCTATTCCGATCATCCCAAAATCGATAACCAAAATTATCATCACCATAGCCAATAAAGAAACATTTCTTGGCTTCAGGATCAAGCTTATCTCTATCATTAAAGTTAACATGCACATAAGCAACATAACCAAAAAAATTCAGATGTGAGAGAGTTACATCCTTTCATGTCCATAACTCCTCAGGAATTTCAAAATTCTACGGTACAGAGGGTCCCCTATTTATGAGGTAAGCTGCCGTGCTAATAGCCTCGGTCCAAAAATACTTCGGCAATCCAGAATGTATTCTAATACTTATGGCTCGTTCATTCTGGGTTCTGTTCATCCTCTCAGTAATGCCATTTTGTTCCGGTGTTCTAGGAACTGTCATGATTATTCTGATCCTATTCTCATAGCAGAACGCTTTAAACACTTGACTATCATACTCTCCTCAATTGTCAGACTTCGGACATTTTAACTTTAGACTTGTCTGATTTTCAACTTGAGCTTTCCATCTTTTTAAAGGTAACAAACACATCAGATTTATTTTCAAGAAAATAAACCCATACCTTTCTTGTGGAATCATTAATGAAGGTGACATAATAGCGTGAGCCTCCCAGAGAAGTTACAAGAGTTGGTCCCCACATATCTGTATGCACTAGTTCCAACTTCTCTTTCTTTGGCGTCCTTCCCACCTTTGAGAAACTAACTCTCTTTTGTTTCCCGTAAATACAATCTTCGCACAAACCTAATTCAATATGCTTTAGGTTTGTCAACTTTTCTTTGGATGCCAACAACTTCATTCCCTTCTCACTCATATGCCCGAGCCTCCAGTGCCATAATGTTGTATCACGACATGATCAACTGTTGCAATAGTATCTCTCTGTATTGCAGTTGCATACAATGTTCCCTTCTTGAAGCCTCATGCCTCAACCAAATTTCCTTCGGTTATCTTCCATGGTCCGTTACCGAATGTTGTTGTATATCCTTCACTGTCAATCTGACCCACAGATATCAGATTTTTCTTGAGGCCGGGAACATGCGGACATTTTGCAATTTCCATAGCGTTCCTTGTGAAGTCTTTATATGAATTTCACCTTTCCCAACAATGTCTTAAGGTTCGCCGTCTGCTAGATAAACCTTCCTGAATTTTTCAGCAATATAATTATGCAATACTCTGCATAATGTAGAGTGAAAGGATGCACCTGAGTCCAGTATCCAAGATTCGACTGGACTATCTGCACAACAAATTAGTGCATCACTGACTTGTTCAGTAATTACATTTGCTGAATTTTCTTCCTTCTTGTTCTTTGGTTCTCTACATTGACTACTGTAGTGACCCATTTTATCGCAATTCCAACAAGTAATGTCCTTGCGATTTTTGGATTGCCCTCTTCTCCTTGACTTTGATCTGCCACGACCAAAACTTTGTTATTTGGTTGCTTTTCCCCTGCTTTCGGTATTAAAAGCAGATCCTGGGGAATCACGTGATTCTCTTCGGCAAATATCTTCGCTTAGAACCAAATCTCTAATATCATTCAATTTGAGTTTGGTACTTTCCGATGAACTGCTAACTGCAGTTACTGTTACAGACCAACTCTCTGGTAGAGATGATAGTAGAATCAATGTCTTGACTTTGTCATCAAAGGTTATATTAACATAACTCAACTGAGTTAATATTATATTAAACTCATTGATATGTTCCGTGACAGATCCACCTTTTGTCATCTTTAAGTTGACCAATCGACGCGTCAAATAGACTTTATTTGAAGCAGATGGCTTCTCGTACATATTTGATAACGCCTTCATCAGGCCTGTAGTGGTCTTCTCGTTAATGATGTTAAACGCCACATTTCGTGTTAGCGTCAAACGAATCACACCAAGAGCTTGGCGATCTAATAGATCCCAATCCACTTTGGCCATATTCTCTGGTTTTACCTCGATCAGAAGTAAGTGTATTTTTATTTTTTTTTTGGTACAAATAATCCTCTATTTGTATTTTCCACAATCCAAAATCTTTGTCATTGAACTTGTCAATCTTAACATTCCCTTCTTCCGACGTCGTTTTCCACAAAAGAAATTTATGTGAATAGTGCATGTACCAATATCGTACTTTTCTATCAAAATTACACTGTCTGTGCTCCGATACCAGTTGTTGGGAAGCATGTCATGCTAATAGAAAAGAAAGAATATTTAAAAGAGAAAAGCAACAAATTGCAAAAGACAAGACAATATTTACGTGGTTCGGCAATTTTTGCCTACTCCACGAAAGAAGTTGAGGGGATGATCTGCAAATGAAAATGCAGACCCCTTTTATAGGCATTTGAATGCCCTGCCGACGTAATCGCTTACATCATAAGAATGCCGACGTAAGCACTTACGTCATAAGAAAAGAATTTAAAGATGAATTCTTCCGCCTATTATTTTTCTTCTCTTTTTGACTTTTCTTTCTTTACTAAGGTCTGTTTTCCTGCTAAGGTCTTGCAAACATGAAAACTCTGTTTTTGAAATCTTCAAATCGTCACTATCTTAGTGCCCTTCAGAGTATTCCAGGAGTCACAGTATCTCATTCACAAAAATGGTTAGATATATATTTGATTTGATTTTCTAGTCTTACTTTTCAATTGACGCCTTTGACTACTCTCTTCTGTGTTTGGACCACTAACTATACCCCCAAACAGATTACTTCTCTTTAGTGTCACAGTAGTATGGCGAAGATGCTACGTACATAAAAATAGTTTAACACTAAAACTTCAAAAGGAGAAATGAGGAGTCCTTAAAATAACGGGATTGCTACACTGCACAAATTAAATACATATAGAACTCAAAGTAGTACTTAACTAAGAGAGATCCCTCTCACACCCTTTATTCACAAAAGTATTTTTTTCATATATCGTGTACACAAATTTTGTATATATTATTCGGTGCAATTCAACTAGTTATAGCAGGTTATCACTCTATTTTTCAAGTTACTATATCAGATTCGAATAAACTTAAGCTCTTCAAAAAATCTTTGATAGCAACAAGCACAATTCATGAAATTGGGACATCCCATTTTGATTTGTGGGGATGACAAAAGACAATAATTTAGGCATCGCATTGTGATTTGTGAAGGAAGAGAGAGTTGACACCTCTAGCATTATCATAGAGGATTTTGATCATCTTCTACTTAAAGCGGGTGGTCAAGGATTTGCTCCCTATTCCTTTCTTCCTTTTTCTTTAATTTATTTCTCCATTTCTTTCTTTAGGATATTTTCTTTCTTATCAAGAAAAATTATGAGTATTGCCTATGTCTCTTTGAGAACAAATTGCTCAGGTCTTCTTCCAAGTATATGCTCATAACAAGAAAACAATATCGAATGATTGTATCTTTAATGGATAAGCATATCACCAATATGGAAAATAACAAAAGAGACATGGTCAGCCATAAGTTGGTGGACTTATACTTTATTATACTTCGAAAAAATAGATGCCCATAACAATAATTTCTTCAATGATAGAGCTCCATGTAGAAGTTACGGGTGTCAGATTGATGTGTTAGTATATGAATTCAATTGTGGTCTGCCCAATAGTTTATTGGGTCAACATAGCCGAGTCAATAGACTAAAACAATGAGTCACAATATAAAGTCATTTTTTATTTGTTTATTTATTTTTATAATTTGCTTAATTATCAAATCAAACTAACAATTTTTTATTTATTTATTTCTCATGACTATTAAACGTAATCGACCAATCACAACAAAAAATAATTATTCTTGATAAGTTTACTCAAGGGTCCATGGGCTGCATAAGTTGCTTAACAACTAGCCCAAGCTTTTAGATTAGCTAAAAATAGGTTAAATTGACCTACCAACAGGGGCAGAGTAAAAAATTTATACAAGAAAATGTCAAACATGAAATTTCGACCAGTGATTCAAAGCATTTTTGAGCCCTCTCTTTTACTTCACTAGACTTTTTCCTTGTATCAAAAACATTCAACAATTTATGTATAATAAGGAAAACAAATTATCGTATTTGCATTGTTGGTGCAAATAGGAGGGATTTCAATGGTCATATTGGGTCGACTACTGGTGGCTATGGAGAGATGCATGGCGGTTTCGGTTATGGGGATAGGAACGGAGGAGGTACTTCGTTGTTAGATTTCGCTAAGGCTTTTGAGATGGTGATTGCGAACTCTAGTTTTTCGAAGAGGGAGGAACATTTGATTACTTTCCAAAGTGTGGTGGCAAAGACTCAGATAGACTATCTTTCCCTCAGGAGGTGCGATACAGGGTTGTGCAAGGATTGCAAGGTTATTCCGGGTAAGACCCTCGCGACGCAGCATAGGCTCTTGGACATCGGTATCAGGGTAAAAGGTAAGAAGAGGTTTGTAGGAGGATGATCGAGGATCAGGTGGGGATCCTTGACTAAGGATAAATCCCAGGAGTTGGAGGGGAGGTTATCGCATATGGGAGCCTGGAGGAGTAGTGGGGTCGCAAGCGCTATGTGGACGACAACGGCGGACTGTATTAGGGAGACAGCAAGAGAGGTGCTTGGGGTATCGAAGGGTTACTCCGGCGGGCACAAAGGTGACTGGTGGTGGGATGAAGTGGTTCAAGGTAAAGTGGAAGCGAAGAAGGCGGCGTAGCTGAAGTTAGTAGGGAGCACATGCGAGGTGGAGAGGAGAGCAAACAGAGAGGGGTATAAGGTAGGTAGGAAGGAGGCAAAGTTGGCAGTCACGGAGGCTAAGATTGCGGAGTGTGGTCGTCTATACGAGGAACTGAGGGACAGAGGCGGGGAGAAGAAGTTATTCCGTCTAGCCAAGACGAGAGAGAAAGGCTCGGGATCTGTGCCAAGTGAGGTGCATCAAAGACGAGGACGGTAGAGTATTGATGGGAGAGGCTCATATTAAGTGGAGATGGCAGACTTACTTTCATAGACTTCTGAACGAAGAAGAGGATTGGGACATTGTGCTAGGTTAATTGGGTCACTCCGAGAGTCTCCGGGACTTTGGGTACTGTAGGCGCATTAAGGTTGTGGAGGTCATGGGGGCTATGCGTAAGATGAGTAGGGGTAGAGCAACCGGGCGAGATGAAATTCCGGTTGGATTTTGGAGGTGTGTGGGCAGAGCAGACTTGGAGTGGCTGACTGGGTTACTTAGTATTATTTTCAAGACGAAGAGGATGCCGGATGAGTGGAAGTGGGGTACCGTTGTACAAGAACAAAGGTGGTATCCAGAGTTGTAACAACTATAGGGGTATCAAGTTGCTAAGTCGTACCATGAAAGTTTAGGAGCGGCTGGTAGAAGCGAGGGCGAGGAGGACGGTGTCTAGATCTGACAACCAGTTTAGGTTCATGTCGGGTCGGTCGAATACGGAAGGAGGTTGGTGGAACAGTACGGGGATAGGAAGAAGGACCTACATATGGTGTTTATTGCGTATGACAGTAAAGAGGTCCTTTGGAGATGCATGGAGGCTAAAGGTGTGCCGGTTGCTTACATAAGAGCAAATTAAGGACATGTATTATGGAGTTGAGACTGAGGTTAGGACAGTGAGGGACGACTCGAAGTATTTTTCGGTTGTTATGGGGTTACACCAAGGATCTACGCTCAGCCCGTTCTTATTTGCCTTGGTGATGGACGCACTGACACGCTCATATTCAAGGGGATGTGCATTGGTGTATGTTATTCGTTGATGACATAGTGATGATAGATGAGACGTGAGGCGGCATCAACGAGAGGCTGGAGGTTTGAAGGCAGACCCTTGAGTCTAAGGGTTTCAAGTTGAGCAGGACTAAGACGGAATACCTGGAGTATAAGTTCATCGCAAAGCCGGGGGAAGCAGGCATGGAAGTGAGGCTTGAATCATAGGTTATCCCCAAGAGAGACAGTTTCAAGTACCTTGGGTCGATTATCTAGGGGGATGGGGAGATCGACGAGGATGTCACACTCCGTATAGGGGTGGAGTGGATGAAATGGAGATTAGCATCTGGAGTACTGTGTGACAGGAAAGTGCCACAGATACTCAAAGGTAAGTTTTATAGAGCGGTGGTTAGACCGGCCATATTATATGGGGCTGAGCGTTGGCCAGTTAAGAACTCACATACCCGGAAGATGAAAGTAGCAGAAATAAGGATCTTGAGGTGGATGTGCCAATACATTAGGATGGATTCGAATGAAGATATTCGGGAGAATGTGGGTGTGGCTCCTATGGATGCCAAGATGCGGAAAGCGAGGCTTAGGTAGTTCGGGCACTTACGGAGAAGAAGACCGATATGCCCCGATAAGGAGGTGTGAGGTTGGTTTTGGCAGGTACGAAAAAAGGTAGAGGGCGCCCTAAGAAGTATTGGGAGAGGTGATCAGACAGGACATGGAGTGGCTTCAGATTTCCGAGGACATGGCCCTTGATAGGAAAGTGTGGAGGTCGCGCATTAGGGTTGTAGGTTAAGAGGTAGTTGAGTATTTTTTTTATTTCTACTTTGTATCGGTGTGAGGCTAGTCTGATAGGGTTTTACTATTCTCCATTTTCATTGTGCCGGGCTTTATTTACTGATTATTGTTATTCCTTTTCATCTATTTTCTGGTTCTTATGATGCTGTAATTATTTCTTGATTTTCTGTTGATGGTACTGATATAGTGTTTCTTTCGTCATCTTAAGCCGAGGGTCTTTCGGAAACAAGTCTGCATACACACTATCCTCCCCGAACCTCACTTAAGAGATTTTGCTGGGTTGTTATTGTTGCACCGTCTAATTTTGCAGTTGAATCCCCTTCCTTCACTTAGCTCCACCGCTGGCTGTCTGCCAATGAATATATGCACAACCTGACACACCTAAGTTTAATCAGATTAAATATGCTATATTTTCATTGACTAAATTTGACACTCCTAATATACATTTGAAGTTTTAATGTTCTTATCATTATTATTAATTCGGATAATTTCTGTTTTATTAGACAGCAAAGCATGCATTGCCCGAGGTGATGCCTTTTAGAGTTGGGGAGATGAAAACTGGTGGTGTCATATGTGTGACTTGCCTTCTTAGGATTAGGAGCTTATCCCAAGTGGAGCCTCATTTCATATATTTAACTCATAGGGCCACAAATATACTAACTGTTGATAATGACAACAACAAAAGTATCATCAACAATTTCAGGCTCTCATAAGTCTAATATCTTCTTGCTTTTTGGTATAAGCACTTTTGTATATTACTAGTCTTAGGATACGCGCATTGCGCGTGGACTTTAGCTCAAGTAAGTAAATTATTTTCAAAAATTGCCTAAATATTAATATTAAAAATTGTGCTTGAGTTATAAATTAAAAATGTAATTAAAATAAATTGGAATTGAAACTTTTGGTCAGTTAGAGCACGAAATAGGTTGCATTTTCTTTTATAACTTCTAAAAGATGATAAAACTTGTAACTAAAGGGAAGTAAGAAAATTATTTGTAACAATTTATAGTCTAAAGATTAACTAACGTTGAACCAATATTCCACCAAAAATAACTAAATATAAAGACTTAGAATTAAATACTTATATTAAATTTAGAAAGAACCATAATTTCTCATATCCTATAGTTTTGCAAGTAACAAAGATCAACAAAATAAGAAGAAAAAATATAATTAGAAAATACTTTTACTCATTTAAACAATATTTTATTTAATATGAATTTTGTATCTAACCATAACTCATCTTTACTGCAGTTGAATAATGTATTTAAATCCGGCTACACGAAATTTTTGGACTCCAAGTTTTATCATAAATTATTGTTTTTACTATAGCAATATTTTGAAGTGAGCCAATGGCAACTAAAAAAGGTGACCTCAAAGTTCAATTTTTTTTTTATATTTCTACTCAAACTTAATGCTACTTCTTTTATTAAATTACAATTATTAATTGTTAACTGGTAAATTTTTTTACTTTGATGTATTCTAAAATAAGTAATAAACTTGAAATCTATCCTAATTTTACATATTCCGATGAAGGCTTAATATGTTTAAATTTAATTGGGATAACACAAAGTTCAAGATCTCCTATTGCAATGCAAACTCAGCACTATATTATTTTTTATTACTATGAGTTTATTCATGTTTTTTGGCTGGAGTATATAAAAAAATAGTCTCCTCATATAAAGAAATAGTTTTTTAATAGTAATTAAGATGGTCAAAATTCCATAACAATAAAAGTAATAATTTTGTAGTTAAATTCAAAGTTGTTTTTAACAAATGTTTAGTTCATTAAAATTTTAAAATAATTGCAATATCTGACCCAACTCCTACTTATAACCAAACATCGAATATGAAATACTCGTAATACTGAAAGAAATTAAGACAATAATGTGTGATGGAAAAAATTAAGATAAACAATGTATAATGAGCGACATTGTATTTTTTAAATGTTTTTCTTGTTTAAAATGTGAAGTGGTTATTTGAATTCAAAATATGAAGCAAAAAATAAATAGCAGAATTCAAAATATTTTTTACAAATATAATTTCATTCTTTTATTATTTATTAACGGCTTAACTTGTTTAACACATCTCTTTTTTCTTTTCGTATTCTTGCCATCTCGTCTTTTCTTTCATTTATCTGTTCTGGTTTCTTCTTATTTCTCTTTCAAAGGGAAAATCAATTTGCCTCATGTCCGACTTTATAGTGAAAATTCAAATATTAACTCCGTATATTAAGGAAGAAAATTATATTTATTATACATGATTCAACTAAGGAAAACTTTTACATAAATATAATCTTACTCTAATTTAATTCCTAAATTTTAGGACTTCTTACCCACTTCAAATAAGTAAATATTTAATAATCAAAATTTTAGTCGATTTTAAAGTACTAAATATTAGGGTAATAATTAAATGACTATTTTGTATAGTGCGGACTCTATTTTTTATTAAGGATAAAAAAGGCGAACGACATTTCATTAAGGGCCTTCGTGCTTTTAATATAGTATATATAGAGTATAGATATAGATATAGATATAGATATAGATATAGATAGATATATTTGAAAATTGTTGGATTTGTTATGAAATATTATTTTGTAGTGGATGTCTTTAACTCCTAAAGAAGTTACTCTCACTGCTCTTCTCCATTATGTAGATAACTCCCACTACTTCTCACCATTATAGTTGTAACTCCCACACCTCCATAACCTCCTCATGATCTTCCTCCATGATCTCAAATGTTTAATGTCATGTTTATGGCATTCTTTTGTATGCCTCTATGTAATCCTATAAATAGAGGATTTTGGCATCACATTGTATACACTTGAATACATAGAAGAAATAAGATTGTCTCCTCTCTTCCTCTCTACATTGTGGTCTATTTTATTGTTCTATATTGTTACTTTGAGCTAAGTTTCGTAACACGTTATCAGCACGAGTCTCTAACCAAGATTTGAGTTTGGTTCTTCTTCCGCCCATGTTCTGATTAGTCTCATTACGAGAATCAGAAAAGAATAACTACTATAACTAGTAAGTACAAAAGCAGGTAAGTGTGAGGTTGGACTTGAAAGAGAGTCTGCTATGCTCCAGGTTTACTGCTCCATTACTTATTTTGTGTTTTTAAGTCTTTTGAGTTGACAATTTAACTTCCCAATAATTTTCATTCTTGACCTTGTCTAAATTATTAAAGTTTAGAAAACCGAA